CTCTAATAAGAGCTAATCCTCCACTGCACTTAGTGGTGTGCTTTAATGTAGCAGTTTCTTAATACTTTTAATAGGAAAGATTAATACTGATTAGCTCAGGAGCAGGAACACAGCTCTTTGAATGGCCAATTGGCCACTAAACCCAGGTCTCTTTAAACACGTCCTTGTTAGTGGCATTCTGTCTGCTGCTGTGCTGTTTCCTTCCTCATAACATCCTATCTAATAAAGAGGGAATATGCTAATTGACTGCCATGCCCTCAAAGATGGCGGCACCCACAGCCACAAGATGGCAGCACTCAGTCCCCTCGGCCCCCTCGGAGCGGCAGGAGCATGGCAGCTCCACGTGCTTGCCTCCAGAGTTCCCCAGTACACTCAGCCCCCGAGCCACCCAGGGCCGCCTAAGGCTCAGGTAACCAGGGCCGGCCGAGACTTGCGCTGCTGGCAGTGGCAGCAGCAGAGGTGTGAAGGGGCATCACGTTTCCCTGATCGCCGGGTCGCCTCCTGCTCCTGAGGGCTCCCAGACTGTGAGAGGGGGCAGGCTGGGCTGAGGGACCCCCCACTCCAGTGCATGAATTTTCATGCACCAGGCCTCTAGTTTAAAATAATAATGATGGCTCATGTTAATTCAAAGGCTAAGTTCAATTCAAGGAGTAAGGCAGGAAAATATGGGACTGTAAGGAAGGTTACATGTTTGGTAAAACTATCATCAAAAATAATAAAACAAGTCTCTTTCAATGCAATGATTTCAGAAGAGTAAGACAACTTTGAACAATCCCAAACATCTTGAAAGATCTCAAGTGCTGCAACCTCAGTCTGACCATGCAAGGCAATGCCCTCCCTCCATCCCAAATCACCCCAAGTTCCCATTGTCTTTCCTGGTCCAACCATATTTTGAAGCTGTCCTCCATATACTGAATGACTCAGTTCTACTTGTGCTGATCTTTCTCGTCTACAATCGTCAGTGAGCAAAAAGCTATCCATTGCCAGCAATCATGGACCCAGGCACTCACAGTAATTTCCCAACCTAGTTTGGCCCTCAATCCATTGAAACTTCATCATCCCCAACAGTAACCTAGGAGCTGTACTTCCGTGCTTCGTACCGATGCCTGGGGTAGATTTCCATAGACCCTGATTCCAAAACAAATTCCATTGCTCGTGCACACAGTAGGAAAAGTAGCACCTTCTCCCTCCTCCTTTCTTTGACAAGGATCACAAACCAGGGCATGTCAGACTAGAAAGCTCTTGAGAGATTATATTTATACTTTAACTTCATTTTAAAGATACAAAAATTAAGAGGGGACTCACCCATGTGGCTAAGCTAATGGCATAAGCAAGATAAGCATCTCAGGTCCTGGCTCCAACGGCAATGTTCCTCTCTTTATACAACCCACTCTCCCACCCCGATTCCTGGGATCAGTAAGAAACCTATCACCATAGAACATTCCAAACAAGACTATTATGTGTCATGGACTGCTTGAACTCGTGTTAATATTCTGAGATGCCTTTCAAGTTTAACCACCAGAAAGATCAACCAGGTACATTTGCGGAATTCACAATGATATTAGCGCTCTAAGACAGAAAACCACAGAAACAAGAATCCTTCAAAAATAGTCTACAATTCCCAGTGGAACAAGTGCCGTCTAGCCACAGAGCAATAATTATCCTGTACTGCAGCAATCAATAAAACCTTTTGCCCCGTGAACCTGCTATTTCCTGACTTTGTTCTCTGCGCTAAAGATTTCCAAGGCATATTGATTACCTACTAAATTTTTTTAAGTTCTTTAAAACGAGCAATAGAGAAATTCTCAAAATTAGCATAACTTGTTACCTTGTGAAAAGCCTTCCAATCTTCCAGTCACAGGCTTTTCACAGGCTTTTCCCCATTTTTCATTTTGAATTTGTCATGTTAAGTGTGTCTGTGTCTTGCCTAATAGCAGGAAGTCAGTAGGATACAAATTTGACAGTGTTTCTGAATCTGTGACTGCTGCCACATTTTTCATCCAAGTGAGAAAGAAGAATCAATTAATAAACTATGCCTCTTTCTCAAGCAACAGCATGGATGTTTACCGAGTGAACCCATTAGCTCTTTAGAGTCTTAAAATTCAGTGCCGTGGAACTTCTCTCTAAAACTATTCACTAAATGATCTATAACGTGACGCCATCTCACATCCTTTCCAAGGACGTTTAGCTACTACACTGTCAAACTTTCAGAGTGAGTCATGCATGAATGAGACAAGCAAGGACAGAGAAAGGCTGCAGCTAGGAGTGGGGACTTGCCTCTTGGTTCCCTCCTGCATTCCCCTCCCCTGGTGCCCCCAAGTGTGTATCAGCTCCCTGCAATTAATGCATGTCTGTCTGTACCCTCCTGAGAGTGTAGGGGCATGTCTACGTGGCCTTTACGTGCAGAGCTGGGCAAATGAGAATTATTAGTCTAATTTTCTAACTACAACTGCTATTTTCCCAATACTCCATCCATACAATTCATCCATCGAGACTGGTTTACTCTATGACAGATCAGAAATCACAGGTAAGTTAAATTATTGCATGTTATATCTTCTCACCTTAGTGGCTGTTTGCATTCAAAGCCAAATGGAATATTATTCAGCCTTTAAAAAGGAAATCCTGTCACATGCTACCACATGGATGAACCTTAAGGACATTATGTTAAGTGAAATACACCAGTCACAAAAGGACAAACACTGCATGATTCTGCTTATTTGAGGCATCTAAAGCCTTCAAACTCACACACAGAGTAGAATGGTGGTTACCTGAGGCTGGGAAAGGGGAAATGGGGAGTTACTGTTCAATAGGTATAAAGTTTCAGTCATGCAGAATGAAAAAGTTCTAGAGATCTGCTGAACAGCATTCTGCTTATAGTTACCAATAATGTACTGTACACTTAAAGTTTTGTAAAAAAGAGTAAAAATAAATTAATTAATTGTCCCACTAATGGCACAATTTAGGCTGAGCCTGGGACTAAGAGAAGCAAGCATTACCAAAGGCATTACAGATAATGTTCAGCCAACGATTTGCTCTTGCAGAACTAGAACAGGTGTGAAAAATAAAGCCTCATGCATTAACACCATTCTCCAGCACTCACCTGAGAAGCAACCCTCAACAGAGGTGAGAAATAAAGACTCACACTTCTGTATACAAAGACACAACCAGTACGGAAAGGGGCGGGGTGAGGGGAAAGCAGTTTTCTATTTAGAGAACCACACAATTCAAAGAACAGTTGCACCCACATGCGCACCAATTAACAAATGGTTAAACAAAATGTGGTCGACCCATATGATGGAATATGATTCAGCTATAAAAGGAATGAAGTCCTGATACGTGCTAAGCATGGATGAGCTTTGAATACAAAATGCTGAGTAAAAGAAGCCGAACACAAAAGGCCACACACTATCCGATGCCGTATATGGGAAATGTCCAGAATAAACAAGTCTACAGAAACAGAAAGTAGATTAGGGCGAGGGCCTGGGTGGAGGGGCGAGTAAGAGTGACTGTAAATGGGTACTTATTTAGGGGATGATGGAAATGCTTTGGAATTAGACAGTGATAATGGCTGTACACCCTGGTGACTATATTAAAACCACTGAGCTTTATAGAGATGAATTGATAGTATGTGAATTATATCTCTTTTTTAAATCAATGGGAGGCACAGTTGCAAATATGATCAACACTAAGGGTACAAGAGTCCTTGCCCACAGTTGCCTGAGGAAGTGGTAAGATAAGCTGCCAGCTGGAAGAGGAAGAGGTGTAGGCACAGGAGAGAGCAGGTGCAAAGACCCAAAGCAAGGAGGGCCTTTCTCTCTTTCTCCTGAGACAACAAAAGGTCATGGTGTTAGCTATGGCCAAGGCAACAACTTTAATCCTGACATATATCCATTAACGCAACTCAAACTCCTTGTATTTATTATGACCCCCACTTTTTATCAGGCTCTCGATTATGCATAAAAAGGGGGAGTAAGAAACCATTGACCATTCCCACCTATCAAAAAACAATATATCAGAACATAAGAAGATAAAATTCAAATGCTCTGAATGGTGAAAGCAACTAAATATGGTGGACACAATGAACTTGGAATTCAGCTCCAACACTTAACATGTCACTTTGAAATAAAAATATCCATTCAAAGCTAAAACTGGCAGACAAGTACTAAGAAGACATTACACTTGAGAAATAGCATCAGAAGTCTTCAAATATAACTGCTGCCATCATCATATAATGAAACATCGAGGATAGGTTGTTCAAATATTGGCTGACTCAGTTTTTCTCACTGACAGGATCATATGAGCTCCTTTAATGCATTTGTAATATGCTGCCCACTCTAAAGCAGCGTTTCTCAACTATTGGAGTTTGAATTCAATCATTCTTCCTCAGGGTGCTGTCCGCTGCATTGTAGGATATTTTAGCAGCATCCTAGCTTCCTCCCACCAGATGCCAAGAGCTCCTTCCTCCTCCCCGTCTCACAGACAAAAATGCTTCCTGACGTTGCCATACGTCCCACCGGGGGTAAAATTGCCACTGTTTTATTGCATGTCTACTCTTTGGTTTCTGCGTGCATCCACCCTGAGAGACTCCCTACAACAAGAAAGATGAAAACTTAGAGAGAGCCTACAGATGCTCTACAACACTGTTCAAAATGTGAAATCTCTAAAGCAAAAGAAATGCAACATAATCCATCGGCAGTGGAAACCAAAACCTCAGTCTCAGCCTCCTCTCCTACCTCCAAAACCAGGCTCCAGAGCTTTTGTCTCCTAAAGGCCATGATCGGCTCAGCTGTCAGGAACAGCTCTGACATCCAAGGACGCACCCAAGTTCCCTCTCCCTCCCGCACCCTCAAGCTAATAAACCCAGGAGGCAATCTTTAAAGTGCTAGACCTTCCCGCTAAATCCACTATGGAATCTCTGCAACGTTATACCTGCAAACACCATGAATAAGGGCGGCCTGTTAACCCAAAGGCTCTGAATCCTGGGCCAGCTGGGAGCTTACCATCCGGGGGCATCAGGGCCTTGTTGTTCTGCGTGCACCACCCCACGGGGTGCAGATCTGCTATCACCACGTCACACCAGAAGTCAGCCCGGCGGTCCTCCCCATAACCACAGTAGCGCAGAAGCAGCAGCTGCCCGCAGGTGGTGATCACAGTGGCCACCCAGTACGTGTCTGGGTTGTTCTTATTGGCCACTTCCAATTTCATCCCAGGCTGGAAGTTGCTCTGAATGCTGATTTCAACCTTACGGAACCAAAAACACAGGAAACCTGTTATTATACTGGATACATACACCCAGAACATTACGAGAATTGTTAAAATCACAGTACTTAAATATGGTATTTCTGTTGCCATTAGGACATCACTCTCTAAGAGCAATACAATGTGAGCCTGAATTTCCCAGCAGCCACATTAAAAAAAAAAAAGATAAAACAGATGAGATTTAGTTTAATAATATATTTTATTTAACCCAACATATTTCAGATGTCATCATTTCAAGATGTCATCAATATAAAATAGATTAATGAGAGATTTTTACATTTTTCTTTTCCAATGAAGCCTCCAAAACCGGGTGTGCCTTCTACACTTACAGCACATCCCAATTTGGACGAGTCTTCCCAGGTGGCTGGTGGCCACATCATGAGCTGTACAGCCATGAATGGATTTTCATTTTTATTAATGAAGGATTATAGTCTATTAATATTTATCAGCCCTCCTCCCCAAAAGAAAGCTTCCCAGCCTTGTGGGCATTCCAATGCTAAAGCATCTGATGTGTCTGAGTAGCAGCTGCTTAAGAGACGATGGAATTACGAAGAACGGCTTGTTCCTGGGGTCCTTGCTGCTTTTCCTTAATAGGCCTGGGGACACTGCTTCCTGAACTGTTGTGATTAAAAGGGAGGTGGGAGAACTGACTGGATTAAAGAGAACAGGCGCTACTCCGCGTGGAGAGGCACTGATAACTTATCCATAAAGAAGAAAAGGAAAGTTGTCAGTATCTTTCTCCTGAACTGCCTCAGGCAACCTAATCAAGTCATCCCAGAATCATAAGAAGCTATGCAGGATCATACCCAAACCGGAAGTCAGGTGAGTTGTAGCTCTCTTATGTTTTAATATTTACCTCTTGGTTTCACTGAATAACCACAACTACATTTATAATAAACTAGTACTTATAACATTACGAGTGTCAGTATAAAAGAGAATTAGGAATATAATCTACTTTTATAAGGTCATGCGAATTTAATAAGGTCTTAAATTCCTTTTCAAAAGAACACTTCACCTCCAAAAAGGATAAAATGTTGTGTTAAAATAATGAATCAAAGTTCTGGCTTCCTAATTCAGCATGAGAGCCAAAGGTAAGAGCAGGTTGAGAAAATGCCCCCATTGGCTAATGACACTCGGGCTGGATCTTTGCTCGGGGTAGGCCAGTGAAAAAGATGTTTCTCAGAATTAAATTTTCTTTTCCAGTAAAACAACAACAATGCCAAAAAAAATGTAGGTCCTGGAAATTGAGCATTTTCCTTGCTCACAATATATTGCTAAAATTTTCTGTAGAAGCAAAAACCTGATAAAAGCTCAATTTTTTATTTCCTGGGACTTTTACTCTGCTGAGCAAGCTATCTGCATTGTTCAAAGAAATCACTGTTAAGAATGATTTGGGGGGGTGGGGGGGTGCCTGATCTAAATGTTTTCTGAATATTTATGATATTTTCTCTTATTTGACTAATCTGCCCACAGAAGACTATAAAACTCTTATGTGTCCTTTCAAAATAAAAACATCAATGCGGCCCTGGCCAGTGTGGTTCAGTTGGTTGAGCATCATCCCATGCACCAAAAGGTCACCAGTTAGGTCTTAGGTCGCCAGTTCAGCCCCGGGTCAGGGCACATGCCTGGGCTGTGGGCTTGAGCCCCAGTAGGGGGCATGCAGGAGGCAGCTGATTGATATTTCTCTCCCTCTATCCCTCTCCCTTGCTCTCTAAAATCAATAAAAGATTTTTTTAATTTAAATTCTTTATTGTTTAAAGTATTACATAAGTCTCCTTTTTCCCCCATTGACCTCTCCCAGGATGACACCCCCAGCCCCCTGTCTGTGTCCATTGGTTATGCTCATATGTATATACAAGTCCCCATTGGTTATGCTCATATGCATGCATACAAGTCCTTTGGTTGATCTCTTACTCCCACCCCCCCACCTTCCCTCATAGGTTGGACAGTCTGTTTGATGCTTCTATGACTCTGGTTCGATTTTTGTTCATCAGCTTATGTTGTTCATTATATTCCACAAATGAGTGTGATCATGTGATATTATCTTTCTCTGACTGGCTTAATTAAAAAGATTTTTTAATTAAATTTAAAAAACCATCACTCCAAAATAAACCATCACAGCCATTACACCTCCTGTGCAAGGGCCACGTCTATCAAATTTGACATTTTGAGGTACAGACAAGGTTAAGATCACACATCGTTTCTCACCCACCCTGAGCCCAGCCCTGTGTTAGATAAGGTAAGCCACAAGAGCCAGGCCAACCCTACCTGCAGCTAAGCAAACAAACTTCCCCATTTCTTCTGTATTTCTAAGAAACCTTGACTGGATTTCCCTTCTTTCCTCATTCCCTTTCTTCCAATCGGTTTGGCATCTTCCTGCAGGTTCCCCTCCCAGCCCTCCAAATGCAGACCAGAAAGAGAGGGAGGATACATACGTGTTTGAATGATGTGTGAGGAGCTGCACTGGCACCCGTTTCTTCCAAGTACTCGCCCCAGTTAAAGCCAATTTCCTCCAAGCTTGAACCTTCTTCTATTGAAAGATGAAAACCAAACAAACAAAACAAACACAAAAATATCAATAGTAGAGTGAAGAATGGAAAGTACTGGCCCCCAATGAAGACTAGAAAATCCCTAATTCAGTGGTTTTGGAACATATTACCAAATTATTTTCAAAGCTTCAGTTTGCTGACTTTATAAACTAAGGACACCCTGAAGAAATTCTGCTTGGATACCCTGACAAAATCAAGGATAATGTTAAGTGCTCTTAGGCAAATGAAATGAGATTTGTTTCACAGCATACTTGCTTCATATTAGTGTATCATCCTGGCCACTGTGGACACTCCATTCTTTGGGGAGATTGGAGGACAAGGTGAATAAGACCGTGGGGTGCTGAGTTAAGTACTATGATGTACTTAGAGCACTGGCACCCTTGTTCCCCGCTGCATACTACAGCCGGGATTATGGAATAATAGCATCGACTGTTAGTGCCATACGGGACTTCAGAAAGCATTGATGTCATTTCAAGGGGAAAACAACTGAGCCCAGAAGGATTGTTCCAGTGTGTGCGGCCACTGGATAAGTTAGGGACAGAAACAGACCAACTGTGAGACCCAGTCCAGGGTCCGCTGTCCTGCCAGCTGCTGTCACAGGGCTTTCAGGGCCAGGTCTGCGCCAGGTCTGCCAGTAGCACCAATAGGACATGGATTTCCCAATTACAAGAATCAAGGAGAAATACAATCAAATGCACATGACTCTTTTTTTTTAAATATATTTTATTGATTTTTTACAGAGAGAAAGGGAGAGGGATAGAGAGTTAGAAACATCGATGAGAGAGAAGCATCGATCAGCTGCCTCCTGCACATCTCCTACTGGGGATGTACCCGCAACCCAGGTACATGCCCTTGACCGGAATCGAACCTGGGACCTTTCAGTCCGCAGGCCAATGCTCTATCCACCGAGCCAAACGGGTTTCGGCGAATGCACATGACTCTTAAAGCGATCCCTATTTTGGCTCTGAAGGAAATCAAGTAATTCTCCAAACATTCAAGACTCTATATGTAAGATATAATCTGTATAGCTGAAAAACACCAGATTATTCATTTTAAAGTATGTATTGGCCCTGGACAGGTATCTCAGTTGGTTAGGGCAGCTCGCGAGCCGCAGTTTGCCGACCACTGGGTTCGGGTGTCATCCTAATACACCAAGATTGCAGGCTCAATCCCTGGTCAGGGCTCATGCAAGAAATACCAACTAAGAAAAATAATGTGATAACCCACAAGAAGTAAGAATATTTTAATTGATTGCCTCTTGTGTGCCTGATACTGCAGTAGATGCTTTACACACACACACACACACACACACACACACACACACAGACACACAATTCATTCAAAAATTTTTAAAGTGAAATACAGATAACATAAATGTCATGTCACAATTTCAAATGGAAAGAACTAATCAGCTGTCACCGTTACTTTAACTGATTTGTAAGACCATCCTAAGGAAAGAACATACAGCAGTCAGGGCTGTCCATACATGCAGCTAAGTAAGAGCTTCAAACGTTTAAATTCTCTCTTCTTGCAATAATGTTCAACCGTGTATCTTCTACTAGCAGGCGGCTACCTCACTGGACCAAGAACAAATACTGGCAGGTGGGCCAGGGGGATGCGGCAAAGAGAGAGTCTAAGAAGGAAAGCCTTGTTCTTGAGGCTATCTATCACTACTTGTTCCTACTAAAGACTTTTAAATTAAAAGTTGGAAGAAAAGTAATTTTCTTGTGATACAGTGCATAATCTCAGAAAATGATAGAAGGGGATAATTTTTTTTAAAGTCAGAACATGCTAAGTTGGAAGGCAGTTACCTTCAATTTTGTCTACTGAATCAAAGTTCCTTAAAACTATTTTCTCAAATTTCACTCCCATCAAGTGGTTTATAAGAAAATAAAAAGCCATCTGAAAAGAAAACCCACCCCTTGTATCTCTCCCAAAAGTCTGCTTCACCCAGGGACTTGCTGTCTTTTTATCAGAAGTTTGTTCCCTGAAAAAGCCAGAGGGTCCTGCAGCCACCAGCTAACAAGGACACCAGGTGGTTTCCAGCTACTTTGTCACAGTAAGGCAAACCCAGAGGGAAAGCAGTCACATTCAGAAAACACATGTAGGTGGCACCCAACAGCTCTGCCCGCAATTATTTTGCCCCAGGCAGCCTTGGACATTGATTATCAGGATCGCTTTCTGACCCTCTGGCCAGAGCATCACAGCAGCGCGATGTATCTGCCCAGGTGGTCTGGTGCCGTACCTGATGGTAGCTAACTTGTCCTACTTTATTCTTTGCACCCTGTCCAGCCCCAGCTCAACCTTCCAGCTCCACAAAGTGACTACCCATAAGAGCCATGCCGCACTGGGACATCGGCTCTCTGCTGATTGCTTTACATCTCAAGAATCCTGACAGATGGGTACTACAGCCTCATCACACAGAAAGGCTGGAGGAGGCCCTGACGGGGGCCCAGGAAGGCTGGAGCCACCACTATCACACAGCTGTCCAGCCAAGGAGGCATGAGTCCAAGGCAGGCTGTCTGATTTTGAGGATGGAACTCTTACGAGGCACCTTCCTGTGTCATTCTTCTGTTCATATCACAAATTAGACACCTCCATTCACCACCACCACCCACTTCTCCACGTGGAAACTCTAAGGCTGACTTCTCTCTGTTTTTCTGCACTGATGAGCCTTTGAACACTCCAGAGCCAAATCAGACAACAGAAAGACACAGGGCTAGAGGCAGCAGCCACCTTCGGAGAGGAGAACTATATGGGCACAGCCCCTGAGACCTGCTTGTAAAGGAGAGAACCAGGGCGCAGCCATGGGCATAAAACTCGGTCCTGGGCAGGAGCATTCTCTCCTTTGTTGTCTAAGAGATGCTTTTTGTCATATTGAGGTATTAGCATGAAAGGGTTGTCAGGTCGAAAAGTTTGAGACATTTTTTCTGTGAACAACTTGGTCGAGCACCAGATGGGAGATGTTCGAGAACCAAGGTTTGACTGTAGATGCTTTTGTGTTCACCCAGGTATTCATTCATTCATTCATTCAAGTTAACCAAGAGAGGAAGAGCTACCATCGTGACTCCCAAGTGTGCGTCATTAATAACAGGGTTGAAAAAAAGGTGTCACTCTCTGCTGTCTAAAAAAAAATACTTTTTTACCCTGTTTGAGGAAAGCATCTAGGAGGTGGTTTGGAAAAGAGGGTTTAAGGAATGACATAACCATTCTGCCTCTAGAGCAGGGGTTGGCAAATTTTTTGACTCGAGGGCCACAATGTGTTCTTAAACTGGACCGGAGGGCTGGAACAAAAGCATGGATGGAGTGTTTGTGTGTTTTTTTTTTTTTAGTTTTATTCATTTCAAACGGGCCGGATCCGGCCCGCGGGCTGTAGTTTGCCCATGGCTGCTCTAGAGTCTGGACCTTCCCAGCCCGCTATCCTGTGCTAGATCCTGAGCTGCAGCCACCAGCAAGGTTTCCAGCCTCCAGTCACCCCTGGGATCCACTGCCTAGATTGGCACATGCCAATGACTTCATCTATCTTGTTGCTGCTATTTCTCCTGATTAATAAAGGCAGTAATCTCAGTTCAGTCCTCAATGGGTTTTTCCAACAAGTGCAATTGAGTTTTACTTCAGTCCCTAGTTTACTTGTGCCCCTAAATGTGTAGACAAATCCTAATTGCTTAATGTATAACTCGTATCTTTATTCCTCCTACATCCCAAAACTCTGGACATAAAGAGGCCAGCATCAGGTGATTTTTAAAGTACAGTGAATAAAGTATAAAATTATGCATGCAAAAGGAACTTTAATTAGCACCCCAAAAGTCAGACCTAGGATGGAATTAAAAATATTTTTTAAAACCTTTATGCCCAGCACTGGTAACTTTAAGTGTGTTGTTTTAACAATAAAATCTGATACAAAATGCAGGGCTCCTCACAATACAGCCTTTTCAAATCTGTCATTTAGTAACACTTCCTCCCCGACATGTGCCTAAGAGGCTGATTCTCTAAAGACATTTCAATGAGCAATAGATAAACATACATGATGTTTATGAGTGGAGGTCTCATAAACCCAGAGCAAATATTTACCGCTGATTCATGAACCTCTTAACCCCATAAACATTTTATCAAGGAAACTGACAATCTCCCTCCGTGGCAAATGATCTAGTTGGAGGCATTGCCCCATGATGTAATGAAAACAGACTATGAAAAGCTACTAAGAAAATGTCACAATGTAAAAGAAAACAGCCTCGTTCATTAGTGGCACTCCGGCTTTAGAAAACAGAAACTTACTTATGTGACCAGAATATTTCATAATAAACAGAAAACGAATACCTTACTAAAAGTTGGACTGCAAGCTGCTTTACAGTGAAAAATGGAATGAGCGAACGGCTCACACACCTTTAAGTAATCAAACCTTGGGTTGTACAGTTTTACAATACAAAATAAGGCTAACTTTGCAAAGCTGGATATGAAAGCCCATAACCACTACCTCGTAAAAAAAACAACACAACATGGAGAATTGGCACGTTTGAAATGAACAGAATCTTACAGAGCACCTTCTTGTGTGCTAGGTATTTTTTTTTAATGTGGAGAGAGAAAGAAAGACATTACATCTTTGTTATTTTAACTGCTGATAGTCCATTCAGACCATCAGAACATCTAGAAAAGAGGTGCATTGTGAATATATTATACAGACACTGCATTCAAATGAAAGTCAGATAGGACTGGCCACCGCAATCCTAGATCGGAGTTCTCAGCTACAGGACTAAACCAGGGAGGAGGGGACCGTCACCTGAACACAGAGGTCCTCGTGCTATCTCAGCTACTCAGACTTCCAGAGAGACTTTCCAGAAAAAAAGAAAACATGTAAAACTGACCCAATCTCCCCCCTTAGGGGAGGCAACAACTATTTTAAAGAGAGTTGTTATTTTTTTTAAAGGAATACAGTGGAGTCACATGAAACTAGTTCCTCTCCAGCATGGAGAGTCAGAGATCT